CCCCAATTTGGCTTCTTTGACTATGTAGAGGGATTAAGAATAATTGCTCATTTTATCACCTTCAAACTCCCTCCATCCCGAATTATATATCGATATTCCCATTTTTCTTCAAATTCAATCAATATACTTTCTTCAAAACAACTTTTTAAGTTTTACTTAAATATTTTCTTCCACTACTACCAATATTTTCTCTGTACCATTTAAAGTCACTATTACTACTAAAGAAATTGTTTGATAACAATTACTTCAAACATTTTGTGAATATATTTTTATTCAAAAATTGCAATTTATAGAACTAGTTATGCAAATTTTTTTTTTCCATATTTGAAGAATCAATATCTGTATTTATGCTAAAAATTAGAAGGTTCGAGGAACTTTGCCATTTCGGAATGGAGGAAGTAATATAGAAATCAAAGTAATATCCTACACTCCATGTCAGTCGAATAGTACTACATAAAATAGAATGGCAGGAGTACTATTTTACCTTTGTTATAATAGCTGTGAAAAAGCATGAAAGTGAGAGCAATGTTATGTATGTATACCATCTGTTGCAAAATGTTCAGCAACTTCCTCTTTGGATCCCAATTTATGTCCCTTTTCTTCTTTCATAACTCTGTGTATTACACATTTTGTATGTATTGCACTCTGAAACTTCTGCATTTGAATTTGTTGAAGCGCACCAGTCAATCTCTGCTTCTTTGTGCATTCTCAAGTGCTATTTTTTGAGTAGAAATTTCAGTTTTCCTGAGTTCTTTGCATCTACTTTACAATATTTCAGGCTTCTTTTGGCCCCCCATATGCTTTAGTGCAAGGAACTCTTGATGCTCAAGGAGTAGCATTCGAGTCAGTTCCCAGTGAATCCTGTCCGGAAATAAGACGGGGTTCAGTTGCATGGGCAGGCTCTGGCCCTGAGTTCTTTATAAGCTTAGCAAACCATCAAGAATGGAAAAAGTCGTACACTGTTTTTGGCTATGTGCTGCCGGAGGATATGGAAATTGTAGAGAAAATAGCTCAGCTCCCCACAAAATTAGATGTCTGGAGCGGAGTTAACGTGACAGTCTTGGAGAACCCTGTACCTCTGAGGGTCCGACGAATCAAGTCCAACAATGGTGACCTAAACCTTAGCAGTTAGATGATTTGCAGTTTGGCACACTACTGCTATTTTGTACATTGATGAAGTCATAGTTTTGAATTGTTTTATGCACATTTCTATGTTGTAATCAATTTTGCAGAACTTGTTTTATAATTTTGGAAAGAAGAAATAACACTTTGTATTTCATTGCCTCTTGGAAATGACTAGTATGAGAGTTTGCACCAGTTTACTATCCTTTAACTGGCTTAAGGTGAATTGACTATTGATTGGTTTTCAAAACCAATCCCATTTTTTGTAGGGTTTGTTTTAAACCAATCCCATTTTTTGTAGGGCTTATTTGAAAACAAACAGGAGCTAAATCACTTAGTTTAGAGACTCCAATTTGCATTCAACCTTTATATTGCAACAACAAATTCAGTGAAATTTCATAAGTGGGGTCTGAGGATGGTAGAGTATATGTTGACCTTACCCTTACTTTACAATGTTGAAAAAAATACGATAGTGGATAAGCCATGAAAAAAGAAGCAGTAACACAACCAGATAATAAGATAACTGGAGTAAAAGAAACAATAGATAGTAATAGAAATCTAACACTAAGAAAATACGATAATAATACTAAAACTACTGGTATGGAAAAGAGCAGCCTTAACTTTTTTTATTGCATAGACTAAATCCAATGATCAAGAAGTAAGTAACTAGCACGAATCAAGTTCAGGTTCTTACTTCCACGTTAGGGTCAATTGTTTCTTTCCTCATTGTTACTTTTAGTATAGCTAAAAGGGTGTTTGGTACGATGATAGAATAAGAGTAGTCATAAGTTACAATACGACGATTAAAATGACAATACATGAATTATGACGTAATTATAATGGAAAGTTTGATTTGTTATATTGAAATATGAGATATTCAAATTTAATTTTCAATTATTTGGATGGAACGGAAGTAACCATCAGTGGCGAAACTAGGAATTTCCTCAAGGGTGTTCAAACTTGAAAGAAGTTAAAATAAATTCTCCGACAAAGAATGTTCAATATATGTTATACCTCTAAAACTTAATATTTTACCTATAATTTTCCGACGAAGGGTGGGCATCCTTTAAGACATGTAGCTGCGCCCCAGGTAACAGTGGCGTAGCCACCCTATGCTAAGGGTGGTCAGGCACACACCCTTCTCCGAAAAAATTATACTGCATATATAAATTAAATACTACTCATATATATATGATGTGTGGCTATAATTCCATAGTTTCGTACATTATGTGCCTTGCATTTTACATGCTTTAATGATAAATTACACTTTATTTGTGCATAATGAAGTCTATTTTATGTGTAGGTGAATTGGAGATGAAAGTAGAGCAAAAGGGATACTTAAACGTTGAAAGTGTGCTCGAGAACAGTAAAAAGGAAAGACCAAGCTTTAGCCTGGCGAGGCCAGGCTAAGGCCAGGCTGGACCAGGCTTTAGCCTGGCGAGGCCAGCCAAATTCCAGGCGTTAGGCTGGCGACGCCAGGCCTGAGGCCAAGTCCAATCCGACTTTTGAAGACGTAATTCATTCCGAGTTTGACTAAGACTCGGCCCACACGTTTAGGGTTTCTTCTACACATATAAATAGACCTAAAAACACCACTTGGAAGAAGTTGTTTTCAGCAGCCACGTTTTTGGGCAGCTAGAGGCAAGGAAAGCTGGTGGAATCACCTCTTGGGAGTTAGAATCATCTATTTCTACATCTTTTCATCTTTACTCTGTATTTTAATTATGCAAAATATTTGGGATATTGTTACTATGAGTATGAGTAGCTAACTTCCTAATCTAGGGTTTTGATGGAACCTATTGAAGGATGATTTTCTTGTTACGTTAATATAGATTTACCGTAGTATTTTCTCTATTTGTTCAACTATATTATTCTTGTGGTTGATTGAAGGGCCCTCAATTAACTGTGCCTATTTAATATGTATTACTCGGGAGAGAGTACATATTTAGGTAGTTGTTGAACAGCATCATTCCTAAACGTATATGAGGGATCAATACGGAGGTTTAAAGGTGGGATAAGGGATAACGAAACCTTGGTGCGATCTGAGTGAGCTGTACTTAATGCCAGCTAGCGTAATTCGGGAGAATATGCCTAGTAAATTGTGGTAATTATTCGGGAGAGAGTCACGACAGTTAGAGTGCTCATGGTCGATAGATAAGACTTAAGTAAATTTATAGGAAACGTAGCGGAAAGGATTCCGACAATTGAAAAAATCATAACTCTAGACCTCCTTAGTCTTGTCTAGAATTTCATCCATGTTAGTTGATAATTTTACTGCTTTATAATATTTGCTAGTTAATTAGTAGAAATAAAAATCAAATCTTTATAACTAGAAAATTATTCGAACTTGTGTTTCTTTGCAATATTGAACAGTTGTAGCTAAGCCTTAGTTCTCTGTGGGATTCGACTCCGGACTTATAAATCGGATTATATTTGCAACGACCGCTTAGTCCTTTTTATAAGGCATAGTTGGGCGTGATTAAATTTTGGCTGTAGGTGTTTATATTGCAAAGAAATATATTTCTAGGTTGATAAAGAAACACTTATAGGCGTAGGTGTATATATTGCTAGGTTGCAAGTTTGAACTTTTATTTTTCCTTTCTTGTATTTGTTTTTTTATTTTATTTTTGTTTTACTTGTTAATGTTAAAAATATGGCATCTTGGAATTATGTGAGTTTTGATGTTGGTAATTCTACTTTTGATCCTCCTTATATATATAGTGGAGGAAACCACACTGGGCAAAATTGTCAAAATATTCTCGAGAGTGAGTTATGTGCACCAACTCAATCTTATGTGCGGAATGTGTGTGATATGTGTGGTAGTCAAGATGGTCACTTTCATGGTTGTGCTTATATTTCTTATGTTTCTCCAACCCCTTACTTTGATGGTTCTTCTTTTTCTTGTGAAGTTAATAAGAACAAAGAACTCAGGGATGATGACCTGAAAGAGATCAGTAATATACAAAAGTGCCTTGATATGTTAAAGTGTCTTGTGGAACAAAATAGTAAAAGACAGCTGCAGATCGAAAGGCAAGAGAAAACTATTCACAACTTGAAAGTTCAAGTGAATCAACTGGTTGGAGACCTTAATGCTCATCAAGTCAATATTGTGAATAATATTCAAGAAGAGCGTGAATTAAATGCAGAAATTGAGGTAACAATAGAGGGGTCCATAGTAGAACACCAACAATCAATCAAACTAAAATTTGAGGATGCCGATGTTGTAGAAAAGATACTAGAGTCAAGCAACATATTTAGTTGACTCTGGTGTCATTAGTGTTGAGGATGTAGACAGTCCTAATGTTCATGTAGTTGAACGCATTGGTCCACACTCCAAGCATTTTTCTACATCGTGTTTGGATGATGATATAGAAATAGAGTCATCCGAGCCACTTGAGGAGTCAAGGAATGAGGATCAAAGCGCCTATATTCTGAAATGCTTCTTGCTAGAAAGTCGGGAATACACATCTCATCTAAAGGCCAAGAAGTGCAGAATACTACATTATTTTATTGGGCCAGTCAGATTCATTCCACCACCCTAGGAGCATGATCATAGAGTAGAATCAAAACTTGGGGTCCAATTCATATGTTCAAAGTGGAGGCAGAAAGTGATTCGTGTCGTGCCGCGATGTTAAATCAAGCGCTTGTTGGGAGGAAATCCAACTTTACTTGCTTTATTTTATTTTTTATTTTATTATTATTTTTGTAGTGTCAATTTTTACTTTTCTAGGAGCATGAAAAGCAAAGCTATTGGAAGGATGCAACAACAAACCATATAGTTGGAACTAAGTGTGAGGTACCCGCACGAAGGACCAAGCCTGGGAGAAGTCTGAGTACCCCATGAGTTGCTAGTGCTTCGGCCTTTGGCCTACCAGGGAGTCTCTTTTACCCTCTTATTAGTTATGGTGTGCATTTGGGACAATGCACAATTTAAGTGTGGGGTGAGGAGATTGTCTAGGTGACTTTCTATGCTATTTTAATTGTGTTAGTTTAATTGAATATATATATTTTTTTTTAGAGAACAAAAATAGAAAAGATTGGACTTTTCCCGACGATGGATCTATTAGATAATTTTTTTGAGGGATTTAAGTCGAAAAAAAAAGACAAAAAGATTTTCTTTTGTTAGGTAGTGTAGCAATTCCACCTTGGTTTTTCTTTGTGCCGCGGTTCTTTTCCAAGGGTTTTGTTTGAACCGGGTGTAGTTAGTTTTTTTTTTAGGAATAGGAATCATTGTGACATGAATTGAATTAAAGCAATATCTCTTAGCTTTGTTATGCCTTGAGAATAGTTAGTACTATGGTTGTGACGCTTAGGCTCGATTTTTGAGTCTCGCATAAGTACCTTAAATCGTAGTATCCTAATTTTACTTAACTGCTTTGACTGGAGTGTCGCGATGAAACCAATCCTGAGTGAGTTATGTGCCATGCGTGTGTGAGTTTTGTATGTATTCTATGCATTACATTTGATGTCTAGAACTTGCCCAGTGTGTTTGCAAAGTGAAATAGTAGTATTATTCAGTCTAGGAAGTGATATAGGCGTTTCTTTGTTAAGCCAGATATATAAAGTTTATCCACCTAAATGTTATATACCGTAGTTAACTCCGTTGAGCCTATAATCATGTTTCTTTGGTAACCACATTACAAGTCGTACCCCTTTGTTTTAATCGACCATATATTTGAACCTTTTCACCTCTCATGAGCACTTGAATTGTTATGAACTTTGTAAAAGTTAAAGTGTGGGGTGGTTGGTTCGGCTTTTGCGTGGAACTAATGAAATAAGGAGAAAGGTGCATTGTTTTGAAAAAGTAAGAGCCACTTGAATTGAAAAAAAAAAGAAAAGAAAAATTAGTTGTATTGCTGTGAAAATATCCTTTGATAGTGGTGACTCTTGATGTAATTATGCTTAAAAAAATATGGAGTTAATGTATATTGAGGTGAAGGTGGAGTTATGGTTTGACATAAGTATGTGATGTGTGTTAAAGTATATGTATTAAAGTGCTTAAGGGAGGTGTAGTCACTCATATTCAAATGTATCCTACCCGACCCGCAGCCTACATTACAACCAATGAAACTCCTACTTGATCTTAGACTGAATGAACTCGATTAGTAGAGTATTACACTACGGGTAAGCCTATGGTGCATCTTTTGTAGCATATGAATGTTATTTCTGAGAGCGAGTGAATTCTTCCT